GAGGGCCATCCAGGAAGTAGATTACGTTTCCGTCTGTGTCCGCTAGGGGCGGGGCTAGCGCGGCCATCTTGGGGTCAGAGCGCTGCGCAGCTCAGTCTGCATCTAGCCGTGCTAGTGAGAGGTTCGTGCTGTGCTCCGTTCAGATACTGTGACGGTTTGAAATGTCTGCGTTAATTGAAAATCCCGCGAGCTGCGAGGTGCCCTCAGTAATAAGGTTTCTGACTGCAAAAAACTGTAAACCGATAGAAATCTATCGGCAGCTTCGTGAAGTGTATGGGGACAACATTATCACTGAAGGTGGAGTGCGTCAGTGGGTTATAAGATTTCAAAATGGCCGAACCAATGTTCACGACGAAGATCGAAGTGGGAGACCCAGCATAGTGACCGCTGAACTTCTCGAAAAAGTTGATGCTAAAGTCCGTGAAAATCGAAATTTCACAATAACGGAACTTTCTTTGAGTTTTCCACAAATTTCGCGAAGTTTGTTGCACGAAATCATCAGCGAAAAGCTTGGTTACCACAAGTTTTGTGCAAGATGGAAGGCAAGAAGAGGTAACGAAGTGGTTGAAGGCGCAGGCGGCCGAATTTTTCGACGAAGGAATTTCCAAGCTCGTACATCGCTACGATAAATGCCTTAATTTGTATGGTGACTATGTAGAAAAGTAGTATTTGAGTGTGGCTTTCATCTGTATATAATAAAATTTGTTTCCTATACTTTGTTTATTTTTTTATTCCAAAACGTAATCTACTTTCTGGATAGCCCTCGTACATAATTTTTTGTTCAGTTACAAAGTTACATCGTTCAGGTCCTGTAATTTATGTGTCAAGAATTCCCACTGAATTGTCGATCGAAATTTTTTCATTCTCAATAATCTATCTGTCGCTTTCTTCACTGTCAGTAGTAATATTTTTTAGCTTTAAGGGTGCTAGACATTTTGTGGCTTGGTGCATTCTCTGTGAATCTTTTGTTCAAGTTCACGATTCACGTTGTATTTTCTTTGTTATTTCATTTCACGAGATTGTTTAATGCTGCCTTTTTTTTTAAATCCGGATATTTTGTGGATAAATTAAGAATATTTTTAATTTCAGCCCTTTTTAATACAATAACAGATAAGAACCGCATGATTTTACTGTCTGCAACGTTGAAAAACATAAACACGTTGCATTGACGGAAATGCAAAAAGTGCAAATTCTGCAAAAGATGGAGACAGGTGCTGTACAGCTCCCAACTCTGCTTGGTCGTTCTCGGAACTCTACGTACTCTCAAGACTCTCCACGTGATGCACTTGACAATACACAAGAGTATAGCTCTCGATTCAGCACAGTCTAAGACAAAACTCGACGATGCACTAAAAGACTCTCTCGATCCACTCGACGACCAACTCAGCACTTGACTTCGAGACACTCGCTCAATGACTGACTATCAGCTCGGTAGACGAGGCACACACACTGACTGACTGCGGACCAACAGGGTTTATATAACTTTCGGCTTGTGTTCGAGAACATTCTGGGCTAAAACGGTAAGAATTCGTTCCAGAAGGTTCTCCATCCGTCCATGGTATATTGATAATTTTGTCGCTAAATGGGAGATTTCTTGCCAAATGTGGCAACCCTGAAACTGCTGTGTGGGGAAACCATCTTACTGCATTTGTACGTTTCGTAACACTATATATATGTATATATATGAGGGAGTCAGAGTCATTAAAATTCCAGGAGTCAAGGTCAGAGTCGATTATTTTTCCTACTGAATCCACAGCCCTGAATCCTAGTATATGCTATAACCTTGGCACAATTTTGAAAATTGTTGCCAACAACAAAATGACCCATTTACTGTTCCTCATAACGGCACCAGATTCTGTGTACGAGGATTAAACTGATTTTGTTTTATATGAGAATTGGAAGGTATTTTCTTTAGTTCAACATGAACTGCACATGCGTGAAAGCGAGTGTCTCAATTTTCGAGGTTACTGGAACCTCACTTTACAAAAGACAACCTGATTGGAGCTGCGAAAACTGGTTCTAGGCCAACTGCTTGAATGACGTTCTTGCGGAACAACTCGCAAGAAAGTGATTGCTTCCAATGTTGCCATAAAACTTGCTTTTTTACAGATAGCCATATGAAATTCCCTAACTTTTCCAGATTTTGATTAAAATATTTAAATTACCTGACTTTTCTGGTCAATTTTGAATCCTCTGAATTTTTCCAGTTTTCTAGGTAGAACCCTTAGAAGGAAATAAGCCTGTTTATTTGAATTCAACATAATAAGAACCACCAATGCAACTGAGTAATGAAATTATTCTCACCATCTAAAGTCCAATATGAAGGAGAAATCTTCCCCTGTCATAAAAACAATACCGCGACTTTTATGTCTGAAGGCCCGTTCTGGTTGAAAGTAAGTGTTACCTTTAGCTCTAATTAATGTGACACACAGGTTTCATACTTACGGAATCAGACCATGGAAAAAATTTCCATATGCCAGAGAAATTGTTATATGAACCATGCAGAGGAGGAATAACCAATAACCGAGTATGTCTTCAGACTTACAAATCTGATTTTGTATTAATTTATGTTACTTTCAAATAAAACTTGAACAAGTCCACTGAACAAGATATGAGAAAACTGAAAGTAAATTCCCATAAGCACATTACATTGCAATTTCCCCAGGACAGAAAGAAAAGCCTAAATTTACCATATTAATATGCCGAAGCCTTATTACAAAAGCTCTAAAGTAATTAGTGATGTATCTTATATTGAAAATCATTCTAACCAGACTAATAATGAAATAAATTTTCCCTACAATGATACTGATCCAAACACTTGCGATTATTCTGAATTACAAACAGATCCACAAAGAGATAAATTACAGAAATTACTAAACAAATATTTTCAATTTTTTTAATGAGCCAGAAATTACAGACTTAACAGAACACTGAATTAATCAATAACAAATTGATAATATCCAAACTGTATTGTAATGTCACATCGACAAAAATATATTTTACACATAGAAATTCAAGGGATTTTCAATTTTAAAATTACTAAAGTGAGGAAGTCTGCTACACTTCCCCAACGATTCTCGCGGAAGCTTCAAATAAAGATCCTTGATCTTATGTGAATTACCACTGTTTAAAAAAATTTTTACGTTCACAATTTTATCCTTCATCCAATATTGAGGAACAGATGAAGGAAAATGCTTCACAAATCATACAGTAATAAGAATTAGAATTAATGGCAGATATTCTGAAGTCGTAATGCTCTTTCGGTTCCAAACTACTCTCTATTTTTCCTAATTGATGCAAGCGATATTAAAGCAATGTGAGGAATTTGAAGTCCTGATCCTGACAATATTAATATTAAAAATTTAAAATTGTAGCATTATCTCAAGCACCTGGATACTGTATACTGCAATGAATAACAGCAAAACTGACCATTAAGCCTTTGAAAATGTTGATTTACTCAAAAGCATTTCTTTACCTGGGTCGCATTGTAGGCCAAGTCTACCAGAAACCATCAGAGATTAAGACTAAAGCTATATTAGACTTTTCTACTGCAAAGATAAAAACTGACATAAGAGCATTTCTGAGATTAACGGGCTGCAACAGTCATTACATTTTTTAATGTAGACGACAATCACCATTCCACTGACTGATCTGTTAATGTGCACAGAAGTACACGGTGATTTTTTCTTAAAGGTTTTAGATGTATCACTACGAATAATAAAGAAAATGACAAAGAGGTTGTTAAGAATATTATGATTTCAAGTGACAGCTTAGTGGAAATTCTCAGTGAAACAATTACAGGATTTAAATAATAGAACTTTGTCACTGCCAATCTATAAAATTAAAGAAGACACAAATACCAAAACAACTTACATGGAAAGAAATGCTTAAATGCTCCATTATTTCATAAACAACTATTTCATATTTTTAATTTTGATTTTTCCATGTCTAGATTTAAAGTGGTAATCTAAAATCTGAAATTGCTAAAAGTTCTGATGATTCTTGATCTCTAACTGCACTCTATTAGTGCATAAAAGAAATTAAAAACATCTTTATTTTTTAATTTGAGGGGATATTCATAATAGGTAAGGATCTATAAAATGATAAAAAAATATTATTATAATGATGATTATGGTAGAATTCTCCAAAATTTCAATGATGACTGAATGAATAACCTTAAATAATCTACTGGAACATTTAAAAGTACCTGCATTCTGAACAGAGCACAAAAGTTTATTTGTGCTTTATCCAGCATGAAGTATTTTCAAGTAGAATTCATCACAAAGTTTCTCATACTGTATATATAAAATACGCAAGTCTTATATGCCTATTGATTTTACAAAATGGTGCTTTATACTTTTATGTTTTTTTACAATAGTTTCTCATTTAATTGTATACTTTTATCTTTGTGGGAAAACCTTACAGTTTCCAGAAATGACTGTATTGTGAACAGTCTGTCAAACACCATTTTTCTGAACTTTCCACTCCTACAGTTTTACATCTGGTACATCCTCTTATGCAAAAATTATGCTGAGAATGTGAATTTTTAAGGAAAATGAATGACCTTTCCATAGCTTACTAGATGGAAATTTGAGGAGACACTCTGAACAACAAGCAGCTACCCAAGTATAACTCCCAAATTAAATTTTCTCATGTCTTGTTATTCTTTTACCTAGGAGAGCACAAAGGTTGCACTCTTAACAGACATTCTCGAGATTCACAATTCATGAGGGAAAAGAAAATTTTCGAAGCTCATATTTATGTTATACATAGTAAAAACAATGAAAATACTAATATTTGAACAGTTAGGACAAATGTAGGTCATGTGCATTCAGCTAATAAGCCAATATTTTTTAAAGGATAGAAGTTTCCAGCTTATAAATGTATTTTAAATGCCTTTCTAGAAGGTTCCAGACATATTAAATCTTGAATTTGACTTCAAAGCAAAACAGTAAAAAATTTTCCAATTTTCTGAAGCAGTGAAATTTGAATATACTCACTCCAGATGTAATAACATGTGCTTTGAATTCCTCCATCATGGTGTTTGAAACAGACATATCTTTAAACATACCTTCTAATTTGGAGGTGAACTGGCAGCCACATTCAGTCTAAATTAAGAAATAATAAAGTAATTATGCACTGAATCTCACATTTAGCCATAAACAGCACAATATTTTTGAAAGAATAAATAAATAATACATACATAATTTTTAAGTTGATCAAAGAGAATAAAAGACCACATAGATTCTTATTTGAGTAGATGCTACACGAGAAGACTACAGTGAAACGTTGGTTCAGGAACTTAATATATTCCTAAAAACAGTTCGTCACTCAAAACATAAATAAAGCAAAACAATTTTCTGCAGAGGAATTAATGTAAAATGAACTAATCTATTCCTGGATCCTAAATGATTGCTTAGAAAATAAAATTTTGAACATACATTTGTAATACAAAACTGATGGAATTCATTAAACCTAACATATATACAATATTAACTTACACAAAATACTTAACATAATACTAAACACGTATTAAAAAAAAAGGAAATCTCAATTAAATTTTACCCTATCTCTATGACTGAAAGTTAACGATGTAAGTAGACAACAGAGAGGAAAATAAAGGTGCCAAATATTACTGTAAAGAGAAATCATGCTCTGTAAAAATATCAAGACAGCTGCTGTTTTTCTGTGCTTCCCCCTCCCTTTTCTTAACACTATTTGGCTCTACTTGAGAATCCCCTTTCCCATTAAAAATTTGATCAATGTGATTTTCTTCTGTCTATGTTTTAAAACATTACTACAGCAAAATGCTGCAAATCTTTATGATACAGTTTACTGAAACATTTCAAACTGATAATATTCTACAAACCTTTGCATCTTACCCTATTTTGGAGAAATTCTGCAGATCAAATAACTCGGATCTTTTACCCCATCTGTTCTCGTTTTTTCAAAATATTCTCTCCATTGCATTAACTGCATTTAGTATCATTTGTTGCCAGCTTACTTATCCATATCTCAAAATATCATTCAACATTCAAGACATTTTTCATTTGGAAAATCTGTTCGTAATCCAAGGTTTCACTGTATTATGATACACAATAAATACTTAATTTCCTCATACATACAAACCAGTAAAAATATTACTAACAGTCCAAAAAAAGAAAATCAGACTGCTTGCTGTCATTTAAAAAATAAATAAAAAGTTTTTTAAAGAGTTCCTCTCGGTGTTGAATATAGAAAACAAAATAAAGTGCAAAGATTTAATCATCTGGACAAGAGTAATGTCAATTTCATAGATTTCGTCAATTTCAATAGCTACATCATTATGGTCAGACAAAATAACATTTTTGAAGTCACATATTTGTAATGATCAGCTGTGATCATAATTTTGAACTGATATCTAATTTTTAGCAAATAAAAACTGATCTAATGACTTCATGAGCCATCCAGATATCACAATCCCCACGGTTAAGAGAAAATGAAAGAAAAAAGCGAATTTTCAACCATTTAAGTTCTGTATCTAGAAATAATGTATCTAGAAATAATGAATAAGAATTTTCAAACAAATTAATTAAACAAAATTTTTACTTTCTTTACTGAAACATTTTCTTCCTTATTTTCTTCTGCTGAAATATAAAACACTATAATGTTTGTATAGTTTCATTGTAAGAAAGGTCTACAGGTATTTTTCATAGTAGAATATACAAGGGGTGACCAAACTTCTTATCAGTAAGAGCCATATGTTGGAATTCAGAAAAGTTCGAGAACCTCAATTAGATTGCCCAAAAGCCACAAGTCCATATTTACATCATTTTAAAAGTACTAAAATAGATTTTAAATGGAAATAAAAGTCTGATAACTTTGTAAAAAGAAACGAAATACAGTAATTACTTCTGGACATTGAGTAGTTTACCATACTTCAAACATATATTTTATTTGCATAAGAGTCACAGCACTTGTTTGCAGGAGCTGCACTATGGCCACTCTTGCTACTAATGTTTCAAAGTTCTGTGCAACTATTTTTATATACAATTCTACTTATAAAACTTCATTTTTGTAGCATAGTTTTGATAGAATTTAATTTTAGGGGAAAAAAAAAAAAAAAAAACACAGTACCTTCAACTTTGATATCATATTTTTTTCAGAATCATCAGATACACTTTTGTTCAGAAGAAGCCGTTTCGCTAAATGCTGCTTATAATAACGTTCAAATACATCTTTTTCTTGGAGATATCTAAAAAGAACCATAGTCTTGTCCAATACCTGTTCAATTTCCTGCTCAGTCATCTAAAACATGAAAGATATTTCATGTAATAATAATCACATTTTATTCAAGGAAATAGTATAATTCAACCTACAGTAGTTGTTTGCATATTGTTTCATTGTAATTACAGAAATATTTTATCCAAAATTTTTATGTTTTGAATGTTCTATTTGATAACTTTATTCTTCACTATTTTTTTAAACTGTAATTTTGCAAGATAATAAAGCTTTATCACATATCAGATGAAGAAATTTATCTCATTCCTCTTGAACAGCTTTCCAAAGTTCAAGAAGAGCTGTAGATTTTTGTCTGAAGAATACGTTTTTTTTTAAAATCTAAAAGTCCAAAAATATATGAGTGATACATCAGGAGATTTAGTAGGGTATGGCTTTGATACTCATTTCTTGTTCCATTTTTTCCAGAAAATTAAGAGTGGATTTTGATGTGTGGCTGCTTGCTTTGTCTTGATACAGTTCTACTGACTAATGGCACTGTGAGTAGAGAAGGTATTTCATTAATTAAGATTTCTAAATTAATATTTGTTGACACGCCAAACAAATATTAATTTAGAAATTTTAAAATATAATGCTGATTTTTGTTGTTTGACTTTTAAATTAATAAGGTATTTCATATTCGGAAAATGGATATACAATATATTCCCAATAATATGTGCAGCTGATCTTAATTTTTTTCCACTCCTTTTATTTTTAATTTGCCATTATATGGAAAACCATCATAAACAATGGATCTATTTTATTGCAGTAATTTAAATACACAAAAGATTCATCTACTGTGAGAACATGTTTCCATTTTTATTCATAAAAATCTCTCTCATAAAGAATTCTGCATTTGGCGACATGTCATGGAGAAAGACAATGCGCATCATGTGTTTTCGCTTTTTTAAAATTCAAATTAGCATTAATCACTTTGTTTATAGCTGAAACTAAGCATTTTAATCATTTTGCAACTGTTATTTTACCTGGCAGATTTTCTTTTAACATTAAATATCTTACCTTCGCAACATTCTGTTTTTTCCTTGGATATGAATTTGGAATAATTTCTCCACTTGAAGCCAAACATTGACTTCCCCCTTCCTTTCTTGTTGAGAATATTATGTAGCATAGCTTTAGATATTGAAAAACGATGGCTTTCACAGCATTTTTTAATAACTAGATTAGAATAATTTTCTTCGGAAAGAGCACAAATTTAGCCTTCCATCCCCTGCTTCTTTAAAAGTGTCATTTTGCAAGAAAACAAAACTGTCCAGCAGGAGACAATAATTTATACATTTAAAATAAAGTTGCAAAAAAAAAAAAAAAAAAACCCAGCACAGAATTTTTTTTTTTAAATAGAAAAGGAAAATCATCTAAAAAATGTACAAACAGCCTCTGAACCCTATATGAGACAATAAAACAGCTTTGCTTACAATATCAAGATGTCAAACACATCGATAAAACTTTTAGTATTTTACAAACAATACAATTCACAATCAAATCAAAATTAAAAATCAAAGAAAAACTCAAAGTAAAGATTTTTTAGTGAATATATATGAAAAATATATACAAATATTCAAAAGCATAGGTAATATATGGAAAACGGCAAAATTTGAACAGAAATTAAGTAAATCCTCTCAATGTGTCCTTTTCCCTATGATATTTTAAAATTCACCTATGATATTCACTTATGAACATCACAAATATTTCCAGGAATACAAATTAAAACAGACATTAAACATCAGCTCTCTATGATTACCATCACATAAGGCTAAAATCATACGAAAACAGGGCTGGTATTTCAAAGGGGTTTATACTGCACACAAATTGAAATTAATACTGTTAAAAGTCTTCATTATTTTAACAGTAAAATTAATTTTCTTTTAATCAAACATTAAGCTGATTGAAATAAGCTCTGAAATTATTTAAAAACAACAAATATTTCACATAAAAAAATTGGAAAAATACTTACACCTTTAACACCTTTCTTGAGTTTATCATCAATGAACAGGGATAGATATTCAGGTGATTTATGGTTTAAGTTGAGAAAAAATTCAAAGTCACTTGCTATCATTTGCTTAAAATACCTGTCTCCACCAAAGGAATGGAATAAAAAGTGGTCAAAGCGGTCTTTTAAATCCAAAAGGCTCTACAAAAGGAAAAAAATATATAAATAAAATAAATATATGAAAATATAGTATAAATATTGATAAAGGTATGTTTAAATTCTATATTTTTCATGATATTACTCAACAGTAGATTAATGTTAAAAAAAATATTGGGTTTTAACGAAAGTTTACCATCACCGCAAATATCGTCTGTGCAAACAGTTCACATTGGCATATTTAATCATATTTTGTCAAATGGTCTTTGGCAACTGAAAGAAAGAGACTTTTTTTAGAACACTGTGTTGTGAAATTTGTAAAACAATATCGTTAGTATTACGTACAAGGTGTCTGAAATGGAACAATAACACTACAAGATTAGATCCATCATTTATTTCCAGTTCTGTTGCAAAACGTCAGCTAAAGTATGTCACCAAATCATGTGTACAGCTTTAAGTGCTAATGTTGCATTATAAGATACAGTGAAGGTTTGGTACCGGAAGTTCAAAAACAAGGACTATGACATTCAAGTTGCAGAGTGCTCTGGCTGGCCTACTGATGTTGATGAGGCCTGCCTTCAAAAGCATATGGAAGAAGATCACAATGCAAGTTTTTCAAACAACAAGAATAAAAAGCTGGGAAGTCATGCTAATTTTTTAGTCAGAATAAGTGCTTAGCAGGTTTACTGCTTTGAAGATCCTTAGATTGTCCCTATTTGGAATAGATATTCTTCAGCAATTTTTATAGTATCCAAAAATTATCATAAACTTTGTCAAGGAGTGCTTGGAAAAGACAGGACATCTTAACTTTTTTTATGTCTGCGAAGATTACCAAGTTTTGCTACTGAGTTTTAAATTGCAGTCTAAAAAGGGGCTAGAAAATTTTTCCTCAAACTAACTCCAGAGATCACTAAAGCTTTAACATCCACTTTCTTCTCTCTGAGAAGTATCTGAAGTAAATCTGTAGCTTTTTTACACCAAACACAAATGAAATGACTGGAACGATGCAAAAAACCATAAATACTTAGAGGATTCCACTGGTCTGCCTGTGCCACAGCTTCTTTGACACATTACAAGATTTCCATTACATATAGTAATAATTTAATGCAGAAAAAAAAAAGTACAGATGTTTTAATTGGTGCTTGTTGCAATAGCAAAAATAGCTCTGGAAATATCTCCTTTAATATCTGAATTACCTTAATCAGGTATTCAATGATAGCAAGATTTTTTTTCCATAGCAGCAATTACTTAAGTTTTATCTTTATTTGTAATAAGAAATTTAGTTAGTAACTAATAACATTACTCCTCAACTAACTATATAATATAATCATTCCTACTTATTTTGTTTGTTTTCTTAATAAAAAGAGTTACAGATTTCATAAGTTTAAATATTACTAATTTTCGGGAACTAACTAAAACTAAACTCCTTTCAATGTTTACTACAACTTTCAGTAATATGCTTACAAAATGTATCATAAACTTACCTAGTAATTACATGAATAGATTTGCATCATTTACTAGTAACTTTTAATATCAGTAACTTTTCACATTCATATTCATTCTTGTTATTTATCTTTATTATCTACCTAATATAAGACTAAAACTGAATATAGCAATATCTCATATAGTATGGGTAATCAGTTCTATCAGTGCTCCAGACTGTTTAAAACTGCACTAATGAAGGAAATAATTATGTACAAAAATAACTGATTCAAAATAATTTCCCTGTTTGTTTATATATAAAATACAAATAATAAATTCAAATTTCTTTACCAGAAATAAACTTTAAAAACGAATGTTTTTCTAAATTCACTTTTTATTTTGTAAAAACTGTAATAATGATGATTGCTGTTTTTCTTTTAGCCCTTTTTTCTTCAACACTTCTCTGCAGTAATGAACTGCATGTTTATTATTTGGCAAACTGTAAGTTTAAACTATGTTTAATTTTGGGATCAACATCCACAGTATGCTTTGACAAAATTTAAGCCATTCCAATACCTTTTTGAAATTGTTCAACTGTTAATTCTCATACGAGCACTTCAATACAATTCATCAATGTCTAAGTTGTTCTACTATTTTCGTAAGTGTTAGTAAGAGTTTCACAATCTAATTCATTAGCATTTGATTTGATGCAATCGGTTACAAATTCATTGAAATCAAGTTGCAGTGGAATTTCCTCAATATTATTAATGACGTCAGTAAAATGAGTTTCAAACCCAATGAAAACATTTTCAGAATATGGGATGATACACTGCCATACAACCCTCTGATTGTTTACCAGTAACTTATGGCATGCCTCGCTGATATTTTCAGAAACATTTCTGATGTTTAGTTCTTCCAAAATTCCATTAAAGTAAGCTTATTTTCTAATCTTTTTTGCAAATGATAAAGGCTACATAGTTTTTATGGCTTGCGGAAAAGTATAACGCAAACAAAATGCCTTAAATGTTGCAATAATCCTTTGATCCATTAGATGGATCAAAGACATCATATTTGGCGGAAAAAAGTTAGATGCAAATTTTTATTTAAATGACACAGACACATTGGATAACCTGAAGCATTATTTAAGATCAATTAGTCTTAAGAATCCTATTAATTTTCTCTGTAATAACATTCTGCAAGTGAGAAGAACCATAAAAGATTTTCTGCGTGGCCTAAAGCATGAGTTTTATTCTGAAATATCCTAATGCATTTCTACCTGATTACAGCACATGATAGCTTTTTGAAATTTTGAATGCAGGTTACAAATTTCATTGGCTGATATAGAGATACACAATGGAATGTTTTTTAAAATAAAGTTCTCTCATCAGCCTTGTTCAACTTCATAGACACCATTTTATATTATTTCATTTAATTCCTTCCAACAAACAGCACTTGCAGATCTACCGACAACACAAATTTTGTGAATACCAATTTGCTGGTTAATACAGAGAAAGCGCACATGATTTGCTATAAAGTTTTTACTTCCCAAGTTCCCTCACCTTTGCTTTCAATGTCAACAGTATTTTTAAATTTATTGTACACACTTAATGCTTAAGCTTTAATTTCCAGTTAACTACGTGAAACTCATTTTTGATTTATCGATCCATATAGATAACAGCCACTCCATTTTTATTATGTGAATAGATCTAATTTTAATGACTACTTCTGATAAATAAGAAGCTATAAGAATACCTTGAAATTTAAAACTTTAAAACAAAAATATTTTTTAAAAAAACACCTTAAAATAAATACAGTCAAAAGTCGTTAATCCGGACTCGTCGGGACTTCGGTGATTCCGGATTATAGATCATCAGTTTAAATCTGGTAAGATGGCATGCAAAAATTACAAAATTAAAAATATGAAACCGTAATTTATGAAATAAAGAACAATTATGATCTAAAGGGTATCAAAATTTACAAAAGAAAAAGCTTAATATTATTTGTTACTTTATTAAACATTTCTTCAATGTAAGTTGCTTCGTTCATGTGATAATACTTTCTCTTTAATTCTATTAAACAGACATAATTTCTTGTTTAGTTACAAAGTTTCCGCTGTTTCAAGTCCTATAATGCTGTGTTGAGGACTAATTTGTCAATCGAAATGTTTTCATTTTCAATAATCTCTGTGTCACTTTTTTCACTATCCGAAGCGAATTATAATGAGGAGGAACTTGATTTAAATCATATCAAAGACTGGAGATGAAATACTAAAACTTAGTCCCGAATTATATCCAAATAAAATAAAAAACATCTGCTCTGAGATAAGGATAGTGTTGACAGATCAACTTCAATCCGCAGTGTGAAATTGATAAACAGATTTCGGATTTCAAAACATACTTTCGCTTTGTAGATACAAATTACATATTAGTAAATATATATTGGAATTTCTATTTGACATATCTTTCTAATCTATCTCATCTAATAATGACGTTTCTGCCCCTCCCCCTCTGCCGCAGAGCAGCGTGAAATTGATAAACAGATTTCGGATTCAAAAATACTTTCACTTGTAGTAAAATATGGAAATTCTATTTGACATAATCGAAAGTTCAAGTTATTTTTAAAAATTGCTCTAGCAGTCTGCAAAAATAATAAGCCAGATCCAATCGAAGATCAGGAACAACGCAATCGCAACATTAACTGAATTAGATAACTTAGCTTAGCGTATAACTCCGTTACACATTAAACCGCATGCGCACAAACATTTCGCAGCCGTAAGGTCTTACGCGCTCTCGTAAACTCCTGTGCGCATGCGCAGAAAGTTTGTAGCTTTGAGGTCCGGATTATAGATCATTCCGGATTATGGGTGTCCGAATTAACGACTTTTGACTGTATACATTTATAAAGAAACATAATAGTAGGCTAAAAGTTAAAAACAAAAATTTTTAAACCTGTCCTGCGCTATAGCGGCAGGACTGAAGTAAAATACACTTAAAGCATCTAAAGTAAACATTAAATCAGAATCAAAGCAAGGCAATTCCTCAAAAATATTAATAACCGCGATTGTGTATAAGATGTTTAACACAATATATAAACGAATCAAAATTAAAATAAGAATTTATAGTAGAACAAACTCAAAAAATATAAATGTGAAAAGGAAAATGTACAAAATTACAAAAATATAAAAATTAATCTCCCTTTACCAAAACTCCAATTCAGAATCCATCGGGTGAATATGAATTAAAACTTCAGGAAAGTCGATTAATATGTTTTGAAAACATGTTTCGTTCTCCTGGTTCATTTGAGATAAAAAAAACGAAAAAAGATTCAATTAAATTTTCAATTAAGACATTAACATTCATTTAAAACCAAAAAACCAAATTTTAAATATACCAGATTCTTCCCTACATGATTTTGAAACACCTGGAAAAGAGAAAATATATAGGTGTGTTTTCAAACTGATGATTCATCCATCCCTTACAATGATGCATTTTCTTCAAGAAACTTAATTATACCCAGTTTTCGTTTTAAAATGCACCATTTATGCCTCTGAGTGAAAGAAAAACTTTCACACTTTCTTTTTGCATTAATTACGACTACTATTATTTTTCTATGGGTATTAATATTTAATTAACACAAATGCACTTACCAAAATTATCATTTACTTATCAAAAACTAACAGACATATGTTCTTTCAACATTAAAATCATTACAATTCACAAGCGTCCACTGCTTACTCATGCTATGAAGTTTACACATTAAGGGCAGGTACAGATGCAAGTGAGCAGGACACCATAATTTTACCACTGGTCGCACAGGTATAATCCCACCATATACCTATGCAGCTCTATCCCAATTTTGTTGGAGGACAGTTTGAGGGTCTAAAACCAGTTGTAACTGCACTGAACTACAATCAGACTGGTGTCTTTCATATGCTTCAAGATTAAGACCTTAATCTCTGAAATTGTAGGCACTAATGCTAAACTGAGATAAAAGGTAAACCATACCTCATCAGTGTTCTACCCACCTCCTCCAGCAACAGCTATGACAGCTCAAGCAGAAAAGCTCCAAGCTTAAGTCCCTACGGATATTATACATGGGAATTCCAAAAAGATCTGAAGTTCATCTCATATCACATAATTTTAAAATCCATAAATCACACAAATAAAGACTTGGCTATATAAAGGGGTTAAAAAAATCATTTATGAAATAAAAAATAATCATATGTGCTAATTTTTTAGAATTTATTTTTACTTTGCTTTAGTTTGCTTTGAAATTTTGAAACCTGATTATAGCAAATCCAGATTTATTGAATCAAGAGAGTGCAAGACTTTGCCATATCTTAAAAATAAAGGAATAATTCTGCCTCAAAACTATTCATTTATAATAAATTAATCTTGAAATTGCCAGACTGTTTTTACTGATAAAAACATAAAAAATCAACACAATTAATTGAAAATACTGTAAAAACTTACTTTGACAAAAGTCAATGCATCACTTTTGCCTCCATCATCTTCTGTAACAAGAGCTTTTCCCTGCTCTCTAAGGTAAGAACTTACACATTCCACCATTGTCTTTAGACCATCATGTACCCGACTGAAAAGTTTGTACATACAGGCTAGATCTAAAAATTATTTAAAAAAAAGGTATTAATACTTTAAAACAAATATGCATTTTTAAAAATTTGGGAAAAAAATCAATTCTTACTGTTTAGCTTATCAATATTAAGATTAAATCCTAACTCCTTTAAATGCTAACATCTAACTATACAAAGAATACAGTGAAAGTTAACATACATTTCACATCTTGTTTCTGTGCATTAACTTAACATTTACTTAATTACACAATTTTAGAAGTTATAGGACTTAATGTGAATGCTGATGCCTTTGAACTGAACTGGATTGTTTGATTATGAGAGAGCATTTTAAGGGAAGGCATCTTTGTGTGGAACACATTTTAAGGGAAAATGGCCATTATTTACCTTATGTGTAAGATTTGGTTTGGTTTATGTGATTATGGCAAAGCCTCGAGGGCTATCTGCCAAAGGGAAGGGATACCTTCGTGAACGACTTTTCTATGGGGAAACTGGCTTGTATGTAAGTTACACATGGGAAAAACACACATGGAGCCAGCCCATTGGCGGAATACAAATCTTGGACCGAACTACCAGTGTTCAGTGTAGGCCATCCTTACATATAAAGGAAACTCAAGATAACCTCTTGAAACCAAAACACACCCAGGATATGGATATAGAATTTTGCATGTTTTTGTCTATTCAACTACTGATTCGAAAACATTGATACATTTAAATTTTAGAAATGTTTACTTATTTCTATGCACATTGTGGATTTTAAAGTTTTTATATTATAACCAAATAACTAGTTTCGAAATGAAATTAGTGTAAAGCAAAGCAACAGCAGTTTTTAGTTTATTAAGTTACAAATTAATTACTTCAGAATCTTAAATAAAAAAATGCACAATACATTACATGAGGAATATCATTAAATAGGAAAGCATTTATTACTTGAAACTTCTAAAAAAAAAAAACCCTTTTAAAAAGACAAACACTTATGTGAATTAAATAACGAAGACTTGTATGCCACACGTTATACATGGTTAAGTTTTCATGTTTTTAAAAACATTGTTACAGTTACTTTTAAAAATCTTTTCCTGTACTTATTTAACTATACATGAAAAATACATTACTATTTACCATCAGTCTTCTGGTTTTTCAACATATGAACTACACCAGAATTTTCCATCTGTAAAATAACACAAAAAATAAATGTCTGAACAATAATAATAATAAAACAGTAATTAGCATAAATTTGTATGCAAAATGAATCAAACTTCAGAACAGGCTTTCATACTAATCAAATCTCATAACAGAGGTTCAACATTTTTATTATGATCCCCCCCCCAAAGCTAAAAAAAAATCAAACTATGAAAAAAATGAGTCTTGGCCAAACATAAGTTTTTTTTTATGAATGTTAAATTACATACAGAGATTAAAAGGTTTTGTCTTCAAAATTTATGCAGCTTAGAAAGCCTAGCAATAAATGTCTACTTGTGCATATACATATTAAAAAACCAGATGTATATGCATAAGTAAAGTTATACATCAGATACACGTATGTATGTATATGCATAACTTATGCACTGTACTTATGTATGTATATGCACAAGTAAAGTTATACATCAGATACACGACTTCCTCGTACGGAACATTAAATTATATGCACTTTTTCTCGCATTTCATTTAAACTTATTTTTTCGAATTTCATTGGAGACATATTTCTCTTTCAATTAATTCAGTTCTCCCTTTGCAGTAAGTGAAAAGTACATAAAAACTCAAAATATCTTCTTTAAAATTTATATATAGAAAAACATAAAATACAGTTAAAACATTTTTAAAAAAATTGACAATTAAAATAACAGTTTCTATGCCACAAAAAAAAAAAAAAAAAAAAAAAAAAAAAAGCAATTTAGCCAGCAGGCAAGATTTTCCGGTGGACAAAACTAAAAGTTTCCTTTTTGTCCCACTCAGCTAAAAGACACTTAAAAGGTTCAGAAAGACAGTACTCTGCTATGTTTCAAATGTAAACAAATATAGCTGATATGGTAATAAAAAAAATTAGCCGCAGTCACACTTAAAAAACTTTTAAATTGTTGATAATTCTACAAACATTGAATAAAGATTAACTAAAGGAAAAAAAAAAACCTAACCGGAAAATAAGAATAACATAATTCAATCATTTTAAAGCAACAAATGCACAATTTACCAATAATTTAATTATAATAATAATAATATAAAAAAAAAAAAAAAAACTGAGCTCACTGTACCAAGTAACAGAGAGGGTATAATTATATATATGCATGTGTGTACTTTTGGTATGCCTGACTACTACCAAAATAGAAGGTCCACAACTACATGTTATAATAGCAGTCTTATATATACAAAATTTTAACTTTCTGAGACTACTCGTTTTTGAGTTATGCTAGATACATACATATGTATAGACCCCCAAAAAAACTCTTCTGAATTCCTTTTAAATAAGTTTTATAATTCCGTTTGTGGGGGGGAAAAAAAGTCCTGTATTTTGTCCTTACATACAGATGTCATGCAAAAACATCATTAAATTGCAGTCAAAATTGATATTTTTGTTGAAACATGATATTCGGAATTTTTCGTGATTATAACATTTCGTATAAGGAAGTAAAAAGAAGAGAGAGTAAGAAAAAATTGTAAAAACTAATATGCAGTCACTTTTGCGACTAAAAGCTTTTTTATTCATATAACTACAGAGCAAAAGCATACATATAGTTAAAACTATAAAATGCATCTTTCTTTCAGGTTCTTCACAAGTAATGATATAAATAATTATAAGATATGACACATATGAAATACGAAAAGCAATTAAAAAAGATACTGAAATCATACAAAAGAAGAATCATTCTTTGAACTCCAAGTCAAATTTCTTTGGTCCAACAGCTCTCTCTCTCACCAGAGACACTGTTAATAACACTTAGAATTAAAAATCAATTAACACCACAATTAAATATTTTGACTTTACAAACTTTGTAAACTGATCCATCCAGCTTCAGAATATCAAGTAAGAAATGAAGAGATATACTGTTGTCCTTCAACAAGTCAATTAAGAGATTAAAACACTGCTAGTACTAATAATATGCACACATATAAATTTCCATCTATGAATGAAAACCGGGAATTAATAATTAAAAAAAAAAAAAAAAAAGCTTGGTAAAGGAATGCTTAAATATCATGAAATGATACTACATATAACAACTACATATGACCCGAATTGACTGAAACTAAGCAAGTCTAAGAATTGCACGTATGTTTAATAGTATGTAAGGTCAATCACTCATGAAATGACTATGTTCTGCAGATTTCCAGATTTAAGAGGTTAAACCTGTAATCAGCATATAAAAACAAGGTTGAAAGGTCTAATTATGGGGAAAAAAACTTCTTGAAATCTAACAGCAGTTAACTGGAAAATGAAAAAGTCTTTTCAAGAATTGAAATTATTTAAAATAAAGACAACAAGCGCACAACTTTAAAACTTTGTGTCATACAACTTTAATATAATTATTTAAAATACAGACAAGCAACATTACAATAGTCTAGCACTTTATAAACAATCTATGCAGATAATCTATTTTCAGAGAATAAGCTCATTTAGATCTTTTAGAACTATCGAATTGCTAACAGTCATGCAACTTACAACAATCTTAGCAGTTCACATGTATTATATGGTATGGATAAAATATTTCAGAAGGAAACTATATTAATTATATACATGCAACAGCTAGCTTTAATAATAAACTATTTATCTTCTCTGCATTAACCAGTCAATTTTCAAGTTTATGCAGATCAAGGTTATTTTTAGAGTTGACAGATAACAGATAAGTGTCACATTAATAAATCACTATACCAGAACAAATTCTGATATTTCCATATTATCCCATGAACTGTTGCAATAAATTCATTAATGGAAATTTCAACAATAGTCACCAATAGTTACTGCGGAGTTCTAAAGCACAAGGTCATCAATAATTGGTTGCTAAATTGCACTATTTTGCCAGTCAACAGGATAATATGCAAGTACCCAAACTTGACATGAAATTTTAAATTGCACTAAACTATATACTGACTTCTACTATTGTTTTCATGTGTTTGCTGATTAGTTCTTCTTCAACAACTTTGACAATAAGTTCTTCAGTTGATTCATCTAGGTAATGTTTGGCACGTTCAGCTTCTTCATTAATTCTTTGCTCCACTTTATTAATGTACACAGAAGCACTATTTTCTTCCAGAAATTTTTGACTTTCCATCTTTAAATAGAAAAATAAATTACTAAATCCTGATAAACAAACAAAAGGGAAATACAATTTTTAAAAAATGGGAATTTTTGAAAAAAATTATCATACTGAAATTCAAACTGTATTAACCAAATACCAAAGATATACAAAGTAGCAAATATGAATATTCTTGTCTTTATATATAAAGATTAAATAAAACCTATGAAAATTCAAGCAACCTGGCAGTAGGTAATTAACACTGTTTTCTTATTTCTAAACAAAAATCTCTGTGCTGATACATCATCGAACTAAAACCTCTGTGTCTGACACACTATTGAACTTTGATAAATCAAAACTGGAGAAACTAAAGGAAAAACTTGATACTTTTCCATTATGCATCTGCCTTGCTTTTTGGCACCAGTGAAAGAGAGGCCAAAACACACACTGAAACTTAGTGCCATCTCGCTAAGCCATGTGCGAGTTTGTGTATCTATTAACTGTTCTTAAGATTAAAAATTATTTATAATAAAAAAATCTGCCAAAATTCAGGCAGGTGCAAAATGGAAAAGTACCAAAAATGTATGTTAATGAGGCAAAATAGCATTATTGTGATTTTTTTTCGTTTGATATTGCTTGATTTACTGAAAATTATCACTGACTTAAAATCTATTTATTTTGGAATGAACAGAAAATAATTCAGTACTTTTCTGTTATGCACCTGCCATGTTTCTTGGCAACTGTGAAACTGAAGCCAAACACCCGGTTTCCTAATTGTAAACAATTTTTAGTTATAAGAATACTTTACAGATGGTTGCTTGACTTCTCTTTCACAAGTGCCGAAAAGCGTGACAGGTGCATAAAAGAAAAGTATCAATAATTCAAAAAACATCAGAAAACAGACCTCATAAAAACTTTTCTCATATGAATAACATGTTTTTTGATGTTGAAAATTATTATCATTGTGACATATTGAAATACCACGGAGAAGCAGATGTCTTGTCTACTTCAGAAGAAGTAAGAGTTAATTTAACCCTTTCCGGCACGCTACCTTTAAAAATCGGAGTTTTGATTTAAAAAAAAAAAGGTAGGCAGTCTAAATTAGGCCTAGAGGAGTACACAAGTAAAATTTTGCGAAGATAGCACTTATCGTTTTAATTCGGGGTGCCCAAGTGGCACATGTTGAAACGCTCGGAAAGAGTGCTGAATGAGGCTTATTGTCAATATGAACCGAGAGAGCGGAAACAAAGAACAGACTCTCTTGTCCTAGATTATCGGTGATCCCGTCTGAGCACACCTAGGGTTCGCCGTTGATTTTAGGAGATTTCAAGGTAAAATTTAAACTAAATAGGAATAAGGAGATTAGCATACAGCCAAAAATATAACATAGAAATTTCTTTTCAAACAATTACTTTTATACCCTAAAAAAAATCTGGAATAAGTTTTATAACTACTGGATCAACATTCACGGTAGCCAGATGCCACTCCATTATGTTCTTTAACAGCAAAACCTGCACACAATGCTCTGATGGAAATATTTACAAGAACTGATATTCTGAAAGCTATCCAGAATTTTCAGTTCCAGGATACACTGCTAATAATGGTCTTGTACAGAGATACAAAGAGTTTTGTAAAATTCGTTGCATCATATCATTCACATGGATCCATCTAATTGGAATAAATATCTATCATATTTGCTTTTTGATTACAGAGAGGTTCAAAATTCTATTACACGGGTTTCTCCTTTAGGGTTAATGTATAATCAAGGGATATATGTCTTATTGAGCTTTTTGACATCCAGCTGGAGTGGTGAGATACAAATATCTTTAAATGAAGCAGTAAGTAATTGATTATATACAAAAAAAATAGAAAATACACTTAGAACAAGCCACTAATCAAGCATCCCTGATAGCATGTAAGAAACATGCAGCTTATTCGAACTACTTTAATCACCAAGCTGTTCCTAAAGGATTTAAAGCTTATTTGCTCATTCCTGACACATCCAACAAACTTTATGCAAGATGGACTGGTCCAGGAGAGATCATAAAAGTACTATCCACCTCATACAGTCAAACTGTCTAACAGTAAAATAAGACCTTCATGTGAATAAAATCAAATAATATATCACTAGAGTACATGCAATAGGAGTTATCTTCAAAAATGATGAAGAATTTATAGATATTCCTTTGACTCAGCAAGCTTTATCTCAAGATATTAAAAGAATATTCTCCAGAAATTGAAATTTGAACATTTAACAAGCGATCAACAGCAACAAATTCGACAACTCGTAAAAAAGCATGAATCATTATTTACAGGTAAAGTGAAAATTGCAAAAGTAGGCTCTCGCAAAATATAATTAAAACCCATTGAAGAAAGGAAAACACATATTTACTGAATTACTGAAGGCCAAAGTTGATGAACAAATTAAAGAGCTGTTAGAACTTGATTTAATAGAAGAGAGTAGTGCTGAAACTTCATATGCTATAGTTTGCACATACATGATTTATGGAGGAATTTGAAATAAGTGGGGATTATTGTACATTAAATGCTGTAAAAATTACTGATGATTAAATTACTGATAACAATTACTGACAGCAAAAACTCTGACATTAATTTGTTATTCAACACCAGAAGCACCTCTTTCTTTAATTTATTGTTCAAAACCAAAAACTCGTTTTGATTTATCTTTCAAGAGCATAAACATTGTCTTTGATTTGTTGATTGTGAGCAGAAACTCTTTCTCCAATTTGTTGTCCGACAACAGAACGAACTCTTTCTTTGATTTCTTCAACTTTGTTTTCGAAGTCTATTCTGACTTCCATAGCCTCAAATTTGTTTTCTATTATGGCAGTAACTTCTCCAATAGATAAATCATGAAATACTTTGATATTTTTTCTTTGTTGGCATTATACATACAATAAAATTTTTATTTGGGATTTATGCATTAAGCAAATAACATTTCAAACAAATATTGTAGTTTCAAAATATTACGAAACATCTGAAAAGTCCTTTCAATTCATTAAAAAAAGTATTTGAATTAAATATAAAATAACCCAAAATGTAATGCAGAAAATATGCTGTTACAAGGTAACCAAAAAGTTTCTTGGCATTTCTGATATGACATTGGAAGAGTGAACCCCAACCTGGCAATGAAGTGGTTAGGATGGGTCGGTAACACTTAGCCAACGGGACATTTATCCGACACCAGTTAGCCGACAGGACATTTAGCCTACACGGACACTTAGCCGACAGGACATTTGGCCAACACAGAGAGTTAGCCATTAGGACATTTAGGTATGGAACACTTACCTGTCAAGACATTTAGTCAACAGGACACAAAGCCACTGATTTAGCAGAACGGACAAATAATTATTTAAACTAGCTATGAATTGAAATTTCTTGACTTAAAGTTCATATTTAAATTATTTTTTCACCTATCGTAAATTCAATTTTTCAATTCTTGTGCTTTAAATTTGGCTAGTATTTAATATTGCAACATTACTTTTAACATTGAATTTAGCATTATTTGAAAATTATCGTGCTGTTGTGTATATTGGCCGAATTGGAAAAAGCTCTGAAATTTCTCGTCAGGGAATATGAATTAAATTTCGAAAGGAAAAATAATTTTTTTAGCTAAGTACAGCAGTCACTAATTACATTTGGAATCTTCAAAAATTATCCATAAACTCTTCATTTAATCAACTGGGTTCCTTTGGAACACTTTCACATCATTAATAATTTTTCTTGTTTACTTAATGATATTAATTTTCCAATCTCACTCTTCCAAATGCTTTCAAATTTCTAATACCTTTACGTTTGATTACTCTTTTACTCAATACATCATGTTACATTCTTTCCCTTACAAAATCATTTCACTCCTCCCACTAATAAAATTTCTTTTGCCTGCCATGAAAAATATGAATAATGCAATAAAAATTGCTATTCTTGAATTATATTTTTTATAGAAACATATGGTCGTAAAGGGTTAGTTTCGAAATACATATTATTTTGTTATTAGAAACAATTTTTAAAAAAGTGAATTTTTAAGACAAGCAAAGGTATAAATTATTGACCTCTGTAACGGGCTGTTCATGCCACCATACTTGAGATAAAAATTCTGTTACATTTTATTGACCCCGCCTTTCACTGAAAATACTTACTTAAGTTAATGTTTATAGCACTAAACTGGTGCATTATGTTTAATTTAGAAGTAAAATATTCTGAAGGTTTTATTTCATTCATAACTGAATACATTTCTGCAAAAACTACATTTTTCGTTCTTCACATATCGAAAACCTTGCTGATATGAAATTCCGCACATGGGGAAAATCTCCGAAGAGAAATGGAGGAATCTGCAGAATAAGGGGCACCAAGCAGGGCTGATCAAAGCATGACATCTTGAAAAGTCATCGTAATGTAGTGTCATCTATCGATGCTAGATTTAACTAGATCAGTCATGTAATTAGCTAATATTATGTACTCACTCTGTTTTGAAAGTCATGATGCGTAATTTTCAATATAATATTTTATATTGGTTCATGTTTTTCTTATAAAATGTAACTTTCTCAATAATTAAAAAATAATCAGTTCACTTTCATATTGATTTTTCTTTTAACCTTGAAAAAATTTTCCATTTTTAAAAATAACACTAAAAATTTTTTTTCCGTTTGTTTTAGGCAAAACTGTCCGCGTTTGCTTACTAGAACTTTACTTCCACGAACGCCCTCTGGCGAAAGAGACTAAAAGTAGTCAGTTGAACGGCTGACGCGTCTAACAGATGTATAACGATAGACCGTCTCCGTATAAATTATGCTTGTAATCATTATAACTTGTAAATATTTTGTAGATATCTTTCATACGAATTAAAATTTCTTAAAAAGTTTATAGCTGTGTTTCGCAGTGAATCGAAGTTCATCATAGAGACGGATACCGACAAGAAGGAAAAGCAGGCAGTTCAGGGCAGCCCTATTTAGAAGGTAAGTGAACTTTCACTTATCTATTTAATGATCAAAAAATTTTAATAGTACAAAGTTGATAAAATTTTTTAACATGGCGCCCGAACAGG